CGATAAGGTGACGGTTCAAGGAGGGGTTTATGTAAAATCATTATTTTTAATTCAATACTAAATGTAATTTTAAAAATTTGTGTGTTTTTTAATTATTATTTACATTAATTAAAATGTTAAATAATTAATTACATTAATTAAAAAAATAAATAAAACAATAAGATATAAACCATTTACCTCAGTTTTTTTTTTTTTTTTTTTTTTTTTTAAATAACTGTTTAATTGTTGAGGTTTTCCTTGTAGTTTAATGCCATACTGAGGAACATTTTAGGCAAACACTTTTATACAGACACATAAAGAGTGAAAACGAAACTGAAACTAATTACACTTTTTCGATTTAAACTGGTTTAATGCCACAGTGAGGAACATTTTAGACAAGACATAAAAAAAAGAGAAAAGTTCCACTGCGTCTCTTTAATAAAGCCGTTTGACGAGATTATTCTGATTCTGCTGATGCCGTTAGGAGCTGAAGCGGAGCTCGGCCGCGTCCTATTTTTACCTGGAGTAATTTGGTTTTGAGCTCTGGTCCGTCTGATCTGTGGGCGTGAGGCCCCGGAGCTCACGTTAAAACGAGCTCTCCGGGGAACGAGGAGCTTCACTGCAGCCGCGCTTTCATTTCAGCTTCATTTTCTGGGTTTGTTTATCCACGAGCGCCCACTTCGTCTTGCGCGAGGCTTTTGGAGACGGAGAGGCTGAGTGAGAGCGGCGGTCGAGGCGGTAATGCGAGGACGGTGCAGATTAGACGTGTCACCGGGCGTATTTATACTGTCCCGTCTCTCAGTGTGAGAGCACGTGTTAGAATGGAAGGAAGAAATGATTTTTAGATGAAGAGGAGTCGAGGAGGGGAACAGAGGAGAAGATCAGAGGAAAAGAAGATGCAGAGGAGAAGGTCAGAGGTTGCAGAGGATCAGAGAAAAGGAGCAGAGGAGAAGGTCAGAGGAGCAGAGAATGAAGAGGAGAGGAGCAGATGGAGTAGAAGATGCAGAGGAGAGGGTCAGAGGAGAAGAGAAGGTCAGATGAAGCAGAAGAGAGGAGCAGAGAAGAAGGTCAGATGGAGAAGAAGAGAAGGTCAGATAGAACAGAGGAGAAGATCAGATGGAGAAGAGGAACTGAGGAGAAGGTCAGATGGAGAGGAGCAGCAGAGGAGAAGTTCAGAGGATCAGAGGAGAAAGTCAGGTGGAAAAAAGGAGCAGAGGATGAAGAGGAGAAGAGCAGAGGAGCAGAGCAGAAGAGGAGAAAGTCAGATGAAGTAGAAGACGTAGAGGGTCAGATGGAACAGAGGAGAAGGTTAGAGGAACAGAGGAGAAGGTCAGAGGTTGCAGAGGAGAGGAACAGAAGAGCAGAGAAAAGGGGTCAGAGGAACAGAAAAGAAGGTCAGAGGAGCAGAGAATGAAGAGGAGAGGAGCAGATGGAGTAGAAGATGCAGAGGAGAGGGTCAGAGGAGAAGAGAAGGTCAGATGAAGCAGAAGAGAGGAGCAGAGAAGAAGGTCAGATAGAACAGAGGAGAAGGTTAGAGGAACAGAGGAGAAGGTCAGAGGTTGCAGAGGAGAGGAACAGAAGAGCAGAGAAAAGGGGTCAGAGGAACAGAAAAGAAGGTCAGAGGAGCAGAGGATGAAGAGGAGAGGAGTAGATGGAGTAGAAGATGCAGAGGAGAGGGTCAGAGGAGAAGAGAAGGTCAGATGAAGCAGAAGAGAGGAGCAGAGAAGAAGGTCAGATGGAGAAGAAGAGAAGGTCAGATAGAACAGAGGAGAAGATCAGATGGAGAAGAGGAACTGAGGAGAAGGTCAGATGGAGAGGAGCAGCAGAGGAGAAGTTCAGAGGATCAGAGGAGAAAGTCAGGTGGAAAAAAGGAGCAGAGGATGAAGAGGAGAAGAGCAGAGGAGCAGAGCAGAAGAGGAGAAGGTCAGATGAAGTAGAAGACGTAGAGGGTCAGATGGAACAGAGGAGAAGGTTAGAGGAACAGAGGAGAAGGTCAGAGGTTGCAGAGGAGAGGAACAGAAGAGCAGAGAAAAGGGGTCAGAGGAACAGAAAGAAGGTCAGAGGAGCAGAGAATGAAGAGGAGAGGAGCAGATGGAGTAGAAGATGCAGAGAGAGGGTCAGAGGAGAAGAGAAGGTCAGATGAAGCAGAGAGAGGAGCAGAGAAGAAGGTCAGATAGAACAGAGGAGAAGGTTAGAGGAACAGAGGAGAAGGTCAGAGGTTGCAGAGGAGAGGAACAGAAGAGCAGAGAAAAGGGGTCAGAGGAACAGAAAAGAAGGTCAGAGGAGCAGAGGATGAAGAGGAGAGGAGTAGATGGAGTAGAAGATGCAGAGGAGAGGGTCAGAGGAGAAGAGAAGGTCAGATGAAGCAGAAGAGAGGAGCAGAGAAGAAGGTCAGATGGAGAAGAAGAGAAGGTCAGATAGAACAGAGGAGAAGATCAGATGGAGAAGAGGAACTGAGGAGAAGGTCAGATGGAGAGGAGCAGCAGAGGAGAAGTTCAGAGGATCAGAGGAGAAAGTCAGG